ATTTACACTCCTGCTGAGACCAGACTCGGGAGCGGCTAAATCCAAGGGTATTTTGAATACAAATATTTTCATTAGAGTTATGCTGACATCAAAGGTTTCCTTTAAGAAAATATTTTCTGGAACAAATTCTACTGACTATTTAATTCCATGACTTTTTTTTTTTTAAAGTAGAACACATTAATTTTTATCTTCATTAGGTTTTTTTTTAATTTAAATTTTCCTACAAACTTGAAATCGATCAGTGATCAGTTTCTTGTCTGTTACATGTATTATGACCATAACTACAGTCTTTCTCTTTCTCAAGCTCTATGAAAGTAATAAAAGGAAACACTGAGGAATATATTTATAATTGGTTGTTAGAAAAGCTCTTTTTAAAAACATGCTACAAACACAAAGTTTGAATTTTTAAAACTATCAGATTTAACCACAGATATATTATGCAAGATAAAACAAAATTAAAATATGCAGTAGACTGGAATAAAGCATTTATAACATAATAATGGCTTAATGTTAAGAGTAATGAACGTAATACTTAAAAGGAAAAACATGACATGTAATAAAAATAGACAAGAGTGTAAACAGACAATTCACAAAAAAAAAGTACTAATGACAAATAGATGTGTGAGTTGGGGAAATGCAATTCAGACCAGAAACCTTTTTTTTTTAGCTGTGGATTGGCTCATCCTTAAGAAACAAACACAATATGAATCGGGATGCCCATTTTCACCCTTAAGGTGGCCAGAATCTCAGAAGTTGATAGTACCAGTTACTGATGAGGATGAGGAAGACAGGCACACCTATGCATCATTAGGTTTAGTCATGTAAACTAATCCATTTTTTAGAAGGCCTTTTTGCAGGGCCTGTGAAGTTTAAAATGTACATAGCCCCGCTTCCAGCTCCCTGCCTGTGGCCCGGGACAGCAGTCGAGGACAGCCCAAAGCTTTGGGACCCTGCACCCGCGTGGGAGGCCCAGAAGAGGCTCCTGGCTTGGGATCGGCATAGCATCGACCGTTGCGCTCACTTGGGGAGTGAATCATCGGATGGAAGATCTTCCTCTCTGTCTCTCCTCTCTGTATATCCGCCTTTCCAATACAAAAAAAATAATAAAAATAAATCTTTAAAAAAAAAATGTACATAGCTCTCATGCCCAATGCCATTCCCCATCCTCCTGCTTCTAACCTAGTGGTCAGTGTCCAGGGAAAATCTGTCTGGTCTCTTTAAGAGCCAGGCCTGGATCTGCATAACAATTCCTCTACCGCATTCCACCAACCCAACAGGTCACAGGCTAGCCTACATGCACAGGGAGGGGTGTCTAGCTCCTGATGGACAGAGATTTTTTTTCAGACATGTCCCCACTTGGGTAATTGGAATAAATCCCATTGCCCTTTGCACCATTGTAACAGCATCTCAGTGTTTATATATAAATTTAAAATATTCTGTTGTTTGAGTTCATATTTCCTCCCTGACCTCAACCTTGTGACCAGAAACATTTTCTGTTGAATTTTCTATTTTTTTTCTTGAGGATCTGTAGATAATCATATAACCAAAATCATACAATGAAAACAGCAATCAGCACTAAAATTCAGTTTTAAACCCAGATGAATGTATGTTTATGAAGTTAAATTAGAAATAGTGTTTTATCAGTTTTCATCAATGGTATCATCCAAAAATTAAAGAATGTGATAGTTTCCCTATATGCAACTGAAATAATGTTGAGCTGAGAAAGTCCCAGGTAATTCTGAGTCAGTTACTTCCTAAAATATATACACACACACAATTACCCAAGTCTGAGTCTGGGGTTAGGAACCAAATGTCAATAGCTGGATTCACATTATTATGGTACAAATTTTTTTTTAAATCTTTTTGTGTACATTTTTTGAGAGAGGGAGAAAAAGGAGAGATCCTATCTGCTGGTTCACTCTCCAAGTGCCACGATGGCTGGAGCCAGGATCCTGGGACTCAACCCCAGCATGGGTGGCAAGAACTTAGTCACTTGAGCCATCTCTGTTGTCTCCCAGGATCTGCATCAGCAGGAAGCTGGAGTCAGGATTCGAAGGTGGACATTGAGTTCAGACACTCTGATGGGAGATAAGGCATCCCAGCCACTGTACAAACACCCACACCCATATTTTTTAAGATTTTTTTTTAAAGATTTATTTTTATTTTTTTTTATTGGAAAGGTGGATATACAGAGAGGAGAGACAGAGAGGAAGATCTTCCATCCGATGATTCACTCCCCAAGTGAGCACAACGGGCCGATGCTATGCCGATCCGAAGCCAGGAGACTCTTCCGGGTCTCCCACACGGGTGTAGGGTCCCAAAGCTTTGGGCCGTCCTCAACTGCTTTCCCAGGCCACAGGCAGGGAGCTGGAAGGGAAGCGGGGCTGCCGGGATTAGAACCGGCGCCCATATGGGATCCCGGGTGTGCAAGGCGAGGACTTTTAACCACTTGCGCCACCGCGCCGGGCCCAAGATTTTTTTTTAAAGTCAGATTTATACAGAGAGAGGAAGAAACATAGAGAAAGAGAGATGACCTCCATCCACTGGTTCACTCCCCAAATGGTCTCAGCAGTCAGGACTGGGTCATCCCAAAGTCAAGAGTCTGGAGCTTCTTCCAGATCTCCCAAGTGGATACAAGGGACCAAAAACCTAAGCCATCCTTCACTGCTCTCCTAGGCACATTAACAGAGAGCTGGATTTAGAATGGAGCAGCCAGATCTCTAGCACCCACATGAGATATTGGCACCAAGGCTTTGGCTTTACCCACTATGCCACAGTGCCAGTCCCTGTCTTTTTTTTTTTTGTAAAAGTTCACTGTCTTGGTTCTTTTTTTTTTTTTTAAGATTTATTTTTATTGGGAAAATCTGATATACAGAGAGGAAGAGAGACAAAGAGGACAATCTTCCATCCGTTGATTTGCTCCCCAAGCTGCCACAACGGCTGGAGCTGAACTGATGCCAAAGCCAGGAGCCAGGAGTGTCTTCTGGGTCTCCCACATGGTTGCAAGGGTCCCAAGGCTTTGGGCTGTCCTTGACTGCTTTCCCAGGCCAAAAGTAGAGAGCTGGATGGGAAGTGGAGTAGCTGGGATTAGAACCGGCACCTATATGGGCTCCCGTCACATGCAAGGCAAGGACTTTAACCACTAGGCTAGTGTCAGGCCCCAATTGATACTGCTTTTATAAGCATGCTTTCTCTTGCTGGCTTTATCCACTTAATTGCTAGAAATTCTTTGGTCTGTTCTCCAAATGCTACAGCTTCTGCAGGTATTTGAGCCTGCGGTAGAATGCCAGTGAGCAGTTTCAGGTCCCGCTATTTTAAAATACTCTTCCCTCTGTTATATAGAGATTGAATGTGTTCCCCAGTTTCCATTCCCCTGCATGAAATAACAATTCAGACCAGAAGCATAAATTGCAGTAATGAGAGCAGGATTTATTTAAAGTGAGCAAGTGAGTACATTCAGGTGTGAGTGCGGGCAAATGCTTATGGAGAAAAGCTTGCCAAGAAAGCTCCAGAAAGGCCTGCGTGTGAGGAGAGCACGCAGAAAGGCTCAAAAGGGCAAGGTTGCCAGCCACCGGTGCCCATTATGGGAGGGGCTGCCTGAACTGAGCTGGGTGGAGCTTGGGCAGGGTTTAATGCGTGTGAGGTTTTTCTGGGAATTGTTTCATGGCATCTCCACGTGGGGCTTTTGTGGCACCTTCTCCCCCATCAAGTAGGAGACTGAGGTGCATCATGAGAAAATGGGTGTACTGGATTGACCTGTAAGGGGAGGTGGAGTTAGAATGCAGGGCTAGAGACAGAAAATAGAAAAATCCCCCAGCCCTTTTTTCCCCCGTAACTCACTGTCCACTTAGGGCCTCTCGTGTCCCTTCTCAATGCCAAAGAGGAAGCTTGTCCAGGAACTGGCTTGATGTACTTCTCTTTGTGTAGATTTATCTAAGTACACACACACACACACACAGTAAATTTTTAAAAGAATTTCTCAAATCATCTGGTTCTGGAGCAGTTATGGGGATGAATTAGTCGATAGACCGAGGCAAATTAGTATTAAAACACCACTGTGAAACAATCATAGAGGGATGAAAGATTGATGTCATGTCTGTAATTGTAGTTTATGCCTCTAATTTACGTAAAATGAAGCTCCTGCAGCCATCAAGCTTGAGTGAAAGGCCATGAGAGAGAAATCCCAATAGTTTCAATAAAGGCATTCATCTTGTTCTGTGTTCGTGAGCCAGAGTCATTTCTCAGTTGCAGCTTGAAGTACTTTCTTGGGCTAGTTTGTGATTTTTGCATTTTCTATCCAGGCCAAGAGCCACTGTACATGTTCACAAAGGACAGTTGTTTGGGAGGCATCCTGTCTTGCTTAAGCTATCAAGCCTTTATCCTTTGTTAATCCAATAAGCGTTTCCCCGGCTCTGTCCTTCCGGCATGCTCTCCCGGAGTTTCAGGGCTGCTCCTCCCTGCCTGCCCTCAGGCTCCTGCAAGAGTTCATAGGCCTTGCTGCTGTGCTGCAAACAGCAGGTGTGGTCAGTGCTGTGATGACTAAAGCTGTGGCCTGTCTTATTAGGGCAAGGGAAATAAGTGAGACTTTAGCAAGTGCATAGTGCTGTTTCATATACGTTAGTTCAAGGTTAGCCCTGTCAAGTTAGACTATATTCACTGTGTAGTACTTCTTTCTGTTCTGTAGTGTGGAAATAATCAATGTGGAATCACTTAATATCTAAAATTTGAAATAGAGATGTAAGCATGACCTGGTTGAGTTCTGAAGTTAATTGGATGCAGGATGTATTAATGCAAAAGGGGTGAGTCCTGGCATGGATGTAAGACCAGTAAAAAAAAAAAAAAAGAAAGAAAAGAAATAAGAACCCTCATGTTTATGCTTAGTGTACAGAATTTGTCAGGACAAAAGTTTATGAAGTTGAAGGGCTTTTGCTTAAACTTTGTTGTTTCAGAGCATTTTTTGGAGGAATTTTAGGGAAAATTAACCTCTACTTCCTTCCTAGGTACATTCCACCATTGATCTGGGGGAAGAGTGGACACATCCAGACGGCCTTGTATGGGAAGATGGGCAGGGTGAGGTCACCACACCCCTACGGGCACCGGAAGTTCATCACCATGTCTGATGGAGCCACTTCAACTTTCGACCTCTTTGAGCCCTTGGCTGAGCACTGCGTTGGAGGTGAGCTAGTGTGGCATGTGCCGTGAAATGCTCCTGCCACCAACTGCCCCTTTGCGTCTGGGCTTCTGGGAAGTCAGCTGAGATGCACCCCGCAGGAGCAGCTGGCAAGGATTAACTCCAACGTGTGCTTGCCAGCACTATTTTAACCTCTTTAGAAAGCATCACTGGATAGTGTTAGATTCACCGACCACACATGAAGGAACGCATCAGCTGAGTACAGAAAAGAAGATAGATGGCTTTTATTCAAAGAAACTCCGTCCCCAGGTCTTTCTTTGCCATGTAGTGAAAAGACAGACATGGAGAAGGGAGCTACAGAGGAGCAGGAAAGACGAGGAAAAAAAAAAAAAACATGCAGGAGGTTTTAAACCACCCTTGACATGTAAGCGGAAGCGGGTGTCGCTTTGGTCTTATCAGGCAGGGAATACTGGCTGGTGTCCGTCTTTGGTACAGCAGTGATCCTGTTGCCTCTGGGGGTTGCTGGATTTGTGCTCTTTCCAGGTTCCAGTAAGAGAGACGTACCGGGTTTGAAGCAAGCTCTGCCCTTGTCTGCAGCAACCATCACATAGTTCTGTGAGCTCGTTGTGATTAACAAGCACTGTGAGCAGGCATGGGTGAGAGCTTGGAGTCCAGGCCCCCCCCCCCCACCGAGCTTTCAGTTGATGTCTGTGTATTTTAAACCTGCTCTTACTTCCTTGAATCCTCACTCACCGCATCCCTGTGAGCCTGGTGCTTCGTTAACCCCATGGCACTGGCAGAGATGCTGAGGCTTCTGCGGTGTGTGTGTTGGTTTTCCTTGTTGAATAATAGTTAACAGAAGTTTTCAGTACCCTCTACTTCGATGTCCTGAACACCCCCCCACACCAAAAAAAAAGACCTTTTAACACCATATTTATCATACAGAAGTCCGGGTACGGATCTCTAAGAAACAGTTTCGATTTCAATTGCTGCTTGAGTTGGAGGTTGTTTTGTACTGCCTGTACAAGAACTTTCATAAAGTACTTCATAACAAGAACTTTGGAAGAAGTGGAATTACATTCCAGAATCCTTTTGACTTCTATTCCTACTACAAGAAAATGTGTCTTGTTTGTTGTTGTTTGTTTAAAGGCACCTTGGTTTTCCATAGGAGTTCAGTAATGACTTATGGGTAAAATCTAGTAAACCAATTTTAATTCAGTGATTTAAAGTAACCAGAACCTCTGAGTAAACTGGTGATAAAGTTTTAGGTTCCCTCGGCCTGGCAGGATTCTCGCTGGAACTTAGCAGCCTGCTCCTCCTCATTCAGGTCTCGGCTCAGATGTCACTTCCCCGGAGGGAGTCCTGGACTCCCCTGATTACCTAGATTTTCCTTCCCAATAGAGCCGCGCTCCTGCCTTGGGTCCTCAGGGAGCTGGCCACTTTCCATATTTGAATGTGCAGTTGTTTATCTATCTGCTAGAATCCTAAGAGCCCCCAGAACAGTCACCTTCCAGGAAACAGTCACAGAAGGAATGGATAAATAAATAGGTTAGGAGTTCGTTTTGTGTTTAAAAATCTTGTCTTTCAAATATTTATTCCTCTGCCATATCCAGCTAAATATGTTCTTTCTCTTGTTTCTGGTGTTTTTACTTTTTCTTACCTTTAAAACACAACATTTAGTTTGAACAGTTTGTTCATCCTACCAGGATTATGGTAAAATGTTCCAAAAAAAAAGGGCAAAACCGATTCCTCATCTAGTTATGTTCCTTTATACAACCCTGTCCCTGACAGGATTGACGAAAGTGATTGTGTGAGAGGCAATACACTGAGTATTCAAAAAGTTCATGGGAAGTAACATGATGGGGAAAACATTATGCCTAGATTTCAAAACATTTTTGGTACCAAAATAAGCATCATTTATGCTACATTTTCCATAGACTTAAGGATTTTTTCCAAGACTTCCCCATTTACTTTCCCCCAAAAAGGTTCTAAGAAAAACAATTCTTTTTTCTTTCATGATTTTTTTTTAAAGTATAAAAGTTCTCATTTTAGGAAACATAGATACTACAGAAATATTTTTAGGGAGAAAATTAGACTTTAAAGCTTATTCATAAATCAACTTTAAATAGATCAAGGATTTAAATATGTGATCTGATATTATCAAATTACTAGGGAAACCCTGTGAGACATTGACATGAGCAACGACTCTTCAGAAAAATCTCAGAAGCACAGATGATAAAAGCCAAATAATATTGCATCAAACTAAGAATCTTGTGCATTGCAAAGGACACCATTAACAAAACAAGGAGGTAACTGATGAAATGGAAGGAAATACTTGCAAACTATGCAACTGAAAAGGAATAATATCCTGAATCTATAAAGAACTTAAGAAATTCAGCAACAATAAAACATTCCAAAGGACATGAACAGGCATTTTTCATGGGATAAAATCCAAATGGCAAACAGGCACATGAAAAATGTTCAGGATCACTGCAGGGAAATGTAAATAAAAAACAAACTAAGGTTTCACCTCACCCCAGTTAGAATGGCTAGCATACAGAAATCCAAAACCAGTCGATGCTGGTAAGGATGTGTGAGAAAAGGTATGCTAATCCACTGTTGATGGCAATATAAACTAGCACAACCATTATGGAAGGCAGTATGGAGATTCCTCAAAGATCTGAAAATAGATTTGCCAAATGACCCAGCCATCCTACACCTGGAAATATATGCAAATGAAATGAAATCAGCATATCAAAGTTATTTTACCCCCATGTTTTGCATGAATTTGTATTGCAGCTTAGTTCACAGCAGCTAAGATAGGGAATCAACCCAGATGTCCAGCAGAGGATGACTGGATAAAGCAAGTGTGGAATAATATTCAGCTGAATAAGAGAATGAAATCTTATCATTTACAACAAAGAGGACACAACTGCAAACCATTAATGCTTAGCGAAATAAAACAGTTCCAGAAAGACAAACTTATATTTTCCCTAGTCTGTTCATTAATATGGAGTACAAAAAAAGTTATGGATGAGTGAACTTGACACTTTGAGCTTTGCTTACTGTTCACCGCCCTTGTCAATACTCCTGAGGACCAGTAGTTACTACTTGTTGGGTAATTTATTTAGTATAGGATTATGCTTGTGATTATTTTTTTGAAACTGAAAAAATGTCATGTAAACATTAAAAGGAAAAATAGGAAAGAAGGGAAGGGGTAAAGTAGGAAGTATTAAAGCTCTTATATCTGTTTATATAAAATTTGTTCATCTTATACAAATAAAAAAATTAAACAAAATATTTAAATCACTCGTGATCTTACCACCTAGCATACCGTTGTTAATGCCTTATTTCATTTTCTATTGGTTTCAGTCAATTTTTTCCAAAATTTGTATTATTCTACATTATATTATGCTTCTGTGTGTCATTGGAAATCCAAAAGTCTTTAAAACCAGAATTTTAATTATTACTTCTTACTCCTTAATGTCAGACCACAATTTAACCATCCTTCTCTTAGGCATATAGCTTGTTTTAATTCTATGCTGAACTTTCTTTGTCGTAAAGTTTTAGGCAAGATTGTAAGAATTAGAATTATTCTTTATGAAGGTTATACATGTATATTTCCTCTATTAAGATAATTTATTTTTTTATCTTAACTTGAGGGGACATTAGAATCATTAAAACTTTTTTCCATTTATTATATATTGGGGAGTTTGCCATATCAGTTTATATAAAAATTCTCATTATTTCTAAGGAGTACACAATCCTTCACCACTTGGCTTTGTAATAATTCACTAAAACAGACCCCTATTTCTAGACCTTTAGGGTATGTTCAGTCTTCTGCCATTCCAGCCTACTGCTCATACTTGTCTGTATAATCCACAAACTGAGAAGACCCATTGTGTATTGTTTTGCATAAGCACAGAAATGTCTACAGAATAAATAACTGAACATAACTTGAAGGGTTGACAAGATCTATGAAAATACTACTTTTTATTTTTCCATTCATTCAGACAGAAATTAGGAAAAACACTTGGAAACTTGTATAGCAATTTGACAGAGGGATTTTTTTTATTGTTAAATACAGGAATAAAAAGTTAAAGAGTATATATAAAAATATTTTCTAGTCGTTTTTTTGATGTTTTTCAAAAATATCTGTCAATAACAGGTTGTACATTTTTTAAGCCAGTCCTTCACCGTAAATAGTTCAAGAAGCACTGAAATTGAGAGCTTAGACTCAAAGTGAAGGATCCTCTTTTGCAGGGAAAGTCAAAAGTTGTATGTTAAATTTGTTCCCCCTTCTTTCTAAGCCAGCAAAATATAATTGTGTTCATTTGTGAAGTCGCTTTTACTGTATACCTACAGCTGTCTGTTTCCACCCTACAGATGATGTCACCATGGTCATCTGCCCTGGGATTGCCAATCACAGCGAGAAGCAGTACATCCGAACCTTTGTTGATTATGCCCAGAAAAATGGCTATAGGTGTGCTGTGCTGAACCACCTGGGTGCCCTGCCTAACATTGAACTGACCTCGCCACGCATGTTCACCTATGGTAAGCACAGGGTGTGGCCAAGGGGAGGTTCCCCTTTGTCTGTTTTCACGGCAAGTGAGAAACTGCTTCTGCTTCTACCTCTTTTTTTTTTTTTTTAAGTTTGGAATTCATGCCCATTTCCCAGAGACGGTAGGACACACAACAGCCAGCAGCCAACTTGTGCTGGGCATGTATAATGGATAATTCATGTCAACTTTTTTTTTTTTAAGACTTATTTTTATTGGGAAGTCAGATATACAGAGAGAAGGAGAGACAGAGAGGAATATCTTCCATTTGCTAATTCACTCCCCAAGCGGCCACAACTGCTAGAGCTGTGCCGATCCAAAACCAGGAGCCAGGAGGCAGAAGCTTCTTCCAGGCCTCCTACATGGGTGCAGGATCCCAAGGCTTCGGGCCTCCTTGACTGCTTTCTCAGGCCACAAGCAGGGAGCTGGATGGGAAGCAGGGTGGCTGGGATACAAACTGGTGCCATCTGGGATCCTGGCATGTGCAAGGCAACAACTTTAGGTGCTACCGCGCCAGGTCCTCATATCAACTTTTGAGATAGACTCTGCAACCACTCTCCAGCAAATAGATGTGGAAACAAACTCACAGACAGTCTTGCCCAAGGTGCCCTGGCTGGTAAGCAGTAACCGACAGCCAAGGAGATCAGGCAGCAGATTGTGCCCTTTACCACCGTGCCACCCTGACTGACACGCATTCCTCTGGACTCTGGGACTGACAGGCAAGGGCCCAATGAAACACATGGACGTCAGGGGGAGGCAACCTGGCACATCAGCCTCCCTCTGGATTTCCTAATGCCTTGCAGGTAGAAAATGAGTCCCGTATTGAGATGGATGCTTCTTGACTTCCACTGAGTCCTGTGCTAGCTGAGGCTCATTCTTGACTCTTAGTTACCATCTCCCTTCAGACTGTAGGTCCACACGAGAGCAAACAGTTCATAATTGTATCTGTGGGAGCACGTATGTTTACAACCAGATAATTTGTGATAACGCTTTAGTGAGAAAAACAAAAGATATTTATAAGGATACATCCAAAAGTTAACAGGAAAATGAAGTTAGAAAAGAAGTTTGTTCCAGGAAGCTTTTGAACTCTGTGCAGTTTTTCCACAATATACATTTCTCTGTGAACTTTTTGCAAGTATAATCTTTATAATTTTACCTAACTTTCTGTTTCTTTATCCTCCCATTCTTTATCAATGTGTGCATAGTTTTTATTTAGTTGCACTTACAGTGTGTCTATCTATGGTGACTTATTTATAATAAGATAAAATTTCATTCATTATTTCTTCCTTTCAGGAGGCACGTTGCTATTACTGCTCTATTATAGTTCATTTAACCTATCCGTTGTGTAGGGCATTGAGGTTATTTAGTTTTCAGCATTTTAAATAATGATTCTATAAATATCTTCTGTATAGAAAATTTTTCTTCTCCCCTTTAATGACTTCTTTGTGGTAAAGTTCCAGTAGAATTACAGAGTCAATACTTTTTTAAAACATTCATTCATTTACTTATTTATTTATTTATTAAAAGCCAGAATTATAGAGAGTTCCTTCATTTGCTGGTTCACTCCCCAGTTGGCCACAATAAGCCAAGGCTGAGCTGGGTCGAAAACAGGAACCAGGAGCTTCTCCTGGGTCTCCCATGCAGGTGTAGGGGGCCCAAGAACATGGGTCATCTTATACTGTTCTCCCTGACACTTTAGCAGGGAGGTCGGTTAGAAGTAAGGACATCCAGGACACAAACTGGTGCCACCATGCTGGCCCCAGACTCAGTATTTCTCTTGCACATTTGTACAGATTGTCCTCAAGCAAATTCATTCGAGTTTACACTATTACTGGTAATGTGGGAGGGCGCTGTCTGCAAGTGCAAATAAGGGAAGATCATAGGGAGGGAAATGAGCATGTGTTTTGTGCTTCTGTTACTGACCTTAAAAGTTCTTCAGCTCGTTGGCAAGTTGAAACTGGTAAGAGGTCAGTGTGCCACACAGAGCTTACTGGGGGCTCCTGCTAGAACACAAGGGAGGCAGCAGGGCAGGACCCCAGCTGGAGCCAAAGAGGTGCTCTTAATGGAGTTGAAGCGGTATGACGGTTTCTTCTGCACACAGCACTGTGATCTGGACCCAGCCTGCAGTACCGGCTCAGCATTCTGCACAGCCATGGGGTTTTTTGTTTCATCGTGTGTTTTCACACAACATTTGCTCAAAATGGCAGTGTTGCTCACTGCCAGTATCATAGCAAGATTACATATGGGTCACATTGGGCTGTTCTGAGCAAACATACAGGTTGGGGTGTCCCTAGCACTGTATCACAGGTCTTTTGCAGTCTGGACACTGCTCTTGATGGATTTGCAGGTGGAGATGGATGTAGTCTGGTCTGAAGGGCTTGGATTAGTGAGCCCTGCTTTGCCCTGTTCACTTTGTGCCAGACAGCGCTAGGCACTCTGAGTCTGTTTCCTATTTTGTGCTCACATACGTTAAGACCCATTTCACAGACTGTTCTGTTCAACAGTTTGGTCATTGGATTGAAGACATAGGTTAATAAATGTATAGATTTATAGGCATAGGGGGAATGGTGAGTGTGTGGTAGATAAAATTGAACCCAAAAAGCAGAAACAGGCAAAATCTAACATGAATAAAAAAAGTAAGAATCAATTATAAAGTCCTGTCCTTGGGTGTTAAAGGTCCATCTGTACAAGCAGAGGTTAGGAAGACATGACCTGGCTGGCAACCTGGGCAGACACTGGAGAGTACCATCGATCGGGACACTGTGTCCACAGGATCAGGAATGCCAGCAAGGGCGCCAAGTATGTGCCAACTGTAGTGCTGCAGCCTCACATAGACAGCTTCTCTTTGATCTCTGCAGCATCCCATGAAATGATAAAATTCTGATTAAAAAAAGAAATCTGATACAGAGTGCTAAGAGCAAGGGCGTAGAACCAGTAAGTGGAAGAGCTGACCTAGGGTCCTGGATCTGGTTGCTGCACTCTCCAGGATCACCTCCAGGCTGGTGGAGTCCCTGCATATGTGGGGCCCAGGGCCTCCAACTCCCCCCACCCAGTGCTGTTCTGTGGGCTACAACAGGGAGGCCTTGTCAGAAGAATCCAGAAATCAAAGAAACAGAGGTTTAGCAGTTTGATGCATGGGAAGTGCTCCACGGGACCCCCGAACAGGAGGCAGGCCGTACGTGCCATACCCCAGTCCTGCCAACAACGGACTGTGAAGCTGTGCTTCATTCCCATTCATTCCAGATTCTTGCACTACAGTAGTGAGGGCTACAGTTAGATGTGGGCATGTTAAACAGCTAAGTGTTTACTGTCTAGAACAATCAGCATGTGTTAGGTGTTGATTTATTGCTATCAAGTTCTTGAAGGTGTGTTCATGTTGGTGAGAGATTAGCCACACTCTGCATGACCCAGGCAGATAAGACATGTTCCTCAGGGGTAGGCAGTCACAGCACTGTGAATGAGCATGTGGGGTGTGTGGGGTACGCCATAGAAGGGGGTGGTAGTTAGGGAGACTCATGTGTCAAGGGCAAGATCCTCCTGGGAAAGGCCCAGTGCTCAAAGTGAGCCTGGCTTGGAGCTGGTAAGCAGAAGGTGAGCTGAAGGGAGGGCACTCCACCCACCACCGGGGTGGTGGCCTGGAAGGCCACATGAGCTGACCCTGAGCTGAGAGAGCAAAGCCATGGGGGCAAGACCGGTCTGTCTAGGAAAGCTGTCAGTCCCCCAGTTTTAAAAAGTAATTTGTTTCCAAATAGCTGTAATAGCAAAAACTGGGCCAGTCCAAAGCTAGGAGCCAGGAGCTTCTTCTGGGTTACCCACGTAAGTGCAGAGGCCCAACACTTTGAGCCAGTCTCCGCTGCTTTCCCAGACCGTTAGCAAGGGTGCTCAATGGGAAGTGAAGCAGCCGGGACTGGAACTGATGCCCATTTGGATGCCAGCTCATATGAGTGCCAGCTCTGCAGGTAGAGGATTAGTCTGATAAGCCACTGTGCGGGCCCCTTGACTTTTATTTGTATACCCACTATTGTTACTCATTTTTCATTATCGCTGCTTTGTGGCGTGGCCTGATGTCTGACAGTATTAGCTTCAACTCTGCTTCTCCAGAGTGTACTCACATCTGCCTATTTATTTTTTTCAGTTCAACTTTAGAATTATTGGGTCAAGCTGTTTGCTAGATTTCTTGACCAACAAGATGGACTAAGTGATGCTGTTGGAAGGAACAATTTGCTAATTTCAGTGGTTTGTAAGCAAAGATTTGTGTGTGAATCACACTGCAGAGCTGGGGGTTCTAACTCCTTCTTACCATCCTCCCTCCAGGACCATAGCTCCTGGACTAGCCACCAGCAGCAGCAATAATGAGCAGCCCTTAGAAGTGGAAAGATTGTGGCTGTTGAAGTTTCTGCCCAGAAATAAGAGAGGTCACTCCTGGTCACAGTGTGTTAACCAAAGAACACTGCATGAGCGCACCTGACTTCAGTGGGATGGAGAGAGAGTAGAGGCTGATGAGCACAAGCGTAATTTAGCCTAATTTTTCTTTTTTTTTTTTTTAAAGATTTATTTGTTTTTATTGAAAAGTCAAATATAAAGAGAGGAGAGGAGAGACAGAGAGGAAGATCTTCCATCCGGTGATTTACTCCCCAAGTGAGCGCAACGGCCGATGCTATGCCGATCCGAAGCCAGGATCCAGGAGCTCTTCTGGGTCTCCCATACGGGTGCAGGGTCCCAAAGCTTTGGGCCGTCCTCAGCTGCTTTCCCAGGCCACAAGCAGGCAAGCAGGGAGCTGGATGGGAAGTGGAGCTGCTGGGATTAGAACCTGCGCCCATATGGGATCCCGGCACGTTCAAGGAGAGGACTTTAGCCGCTAGGCCATGCCACCGGGCGCAAGCCTAATTTTTCAATAGAAGTTTTAATTTATAAAATAACTTGGAAAAATCTTATTTGCATAGTGTTTACTTTTATCCTCCAAGTCTTCCTTTATAACAAACTTCTAGTCTCTTT